CAGAGACGCAAAACAGCGCTGTGGCTTTGTTTGGAATTATTTTTGTTGGCGAAATAGTGCAAAAACAGGCAATATGGTGTCTAAAACGTAAGTCTCTTAATAAAACTTATAGTTTATTGAACTGTTCAATATCACATTTGTATATGGTCATTTTTGGAGAAAAAAAGGCACTCTTCCGTGTGAACTTGATTAACTAGATGAAGTGGTATAAATATACACATTTTCTGCCCCCATGTCTTGAATTTGTGATCATTCTGAATGTATTTTTATAGACTGAATCATGCAGTGATCAGGCAGAACGCACTGCAAATGCGCACGCGCACTAGACTTCAGGTAATGCGTGCACTCTGTAGGTGTTTTGAATGTTTGTTTGTTTTTGTGTTTCTTCCGAGTTTATGTGTGCGGACGCAGTAATTTACCGCGGGGAAGAAAACATCTTCGGTCTGTCCAATGATTGTAGTAAAGTCATTAGGTCCGTCAGACTGAAGATATTTTAGCTGTAATGAGACCAGAAATAATTAAGACCCATCGAATCCGAATTTAAGACATTTTAAGACTTTTTAAGGCCTTATATTAGGAAAACGTTATTTAAGACTTTTTAAGGACCCGCGGACACCCTGTAAACTGTCAAAACTTGCGAAGGGTTGATGTCGAGATTTTATAAGCTGCTAGTTTGGTCTCCCTAGGCAAACACAGTTTACACTGCGTAATAGAGCATATGGCCAGGGGTTCACTTCATTTCCTTCGAGTTCAACTTCAGCAGAATACGACGGGGTTTCGTTTTCAGCTGGGTCTGCACCATAACGCCTCTCTTATCCGTCCCCATCTTTCTTGTGATTTTAGCGCCAGTTTGTTCTCCTGCCCATTATTTACTGCAGTAGTGTCCAGGGTTTTTTTTTTACTCAGTAATTAATGTGTTTTAAAATGTAGCGAAGTACAATACTTCAAACAAAATATACTTAAGTAAAAGTAAAATTACAGATTTTAAAAATTACTTTAAAAAGTAGAAGTACACAAAAAAGCTACTCAATTACAGTTTTGCAGATAGTTAAAATGGATTACTTTTACTGTTTTTCTTTCTTTTTCTTTATTCCCTGCCTATTACAAGCTATATTCCTAAATCTACACAAAGTAGGTGTTAATAATATTATGTTAAAAATGTAAGTTACTCAAATTCTTGTTTATTGAACTGCTGTATAGGCAGGAAACTGTTTTGATCAAAAGCTATTTTCTCATCAGTGTTGCCATAGTCTTTGTATTTCTTCCTTAGGGAGACATGTTGTTCACCAAAATAAAGCCAGTTTATTTCTGGCTTCGCTTGTCAGCAGTGAGGTTGAACAAATGTGAAAGATTATGGTAGGCCTATTTAATTTTCTTTCTGACTGTAGCACGATGTCATTACAGGGATGGCTTTAGGGTAGATGGGTTTAACACTGTTCTGGAGGAATGTAAATTAAGTGTATACTTCCTATAACACGATTCTGCCAATATGCATATGGATATCGATCGAGACTTCTGAATGAGTAGACCATGCTGCACGTTTCCCCTGCGGACACATACCATGTCTGAACTGATTTTAATACTTAGTCCTCTATGCAAACAATTCAGGATTTGTGTAATGCAAAAAATATATATAAATAATTAATGATATACAAATAATGCTGTGTCTCTTCCCTCAGAGGCAAAACTACTGAGGCATTTTGGGAAGAGCAAGTAAGCAAACTTTATAAATGTAAATAACTTCCCAGAGAGCAGAGGATGCAGGAGGAAGGCCGAACAAAATTATTGCTGCGTAGGCACAAAAAAAATTGCATCCACAAAATGAATACATGAATAAAACGGTGCATGCTCTAAACAAATATGCTCTATCCATTCAACGGTATAGGCTAAACAATCTATGTGAACCAACAACTTTCCAGCTATGGCAGATGTCGGTGCTCATTTTCTTATCAGTTTCATCACTACTCACAACATGTGAAGTGCTACAATCAACAGTGTGGCCAGTTCACTTGCAGTAGCTTTTCAATTCTATTGCTCCTAAAAAGAAATGTAAACAATTCATGAAGGACCATTATGAAACTTTAGCTTCTGTTATTTCCCACCAACACTTTTCCTTCACTGTTTGAACAGGATACAAATTGTGAAATTTCTGTAGTTTTCCCATGTGATTCATGGGGCTCACTGTATGCTGCAGCCCAAACATGACAGAAGTCCAGTGCCTCACATCCAGTCCCTGCGCTGGAAGTTATGTCAGTGAACCATCAGAGAGAAGGATCACCATGGCACCAGTTCTCTTTGAATCACAGCAGACTCACTGTAATTTGTTATCTTTCGGAGATCCCATTTCCGATGTGTTGATGCAGCAGATAGATTCCCATACCGTAACCATTTATCACCTGTCACTGGAAACTGCAGGAAAAAAAACTCAGCTTTGAGAAATATTCTTTGTAGAAGCCACGGTTCATAAACTCTGACAACATACAGTATGAAAATACAAACAATATAAATACACTGTTTACATGTATTCATGTCAGAATAAATGTAAACACTGCAGTACTGTATATATTATCTAATGTTCGCAACACAACGTCTGCGTTGGTTTGAGCTCAGCTAGTCATGCACGATAAACACAGATAATTAGCCAGTAATAATCAAGTATAACACTTCCTAGTAACTTTTTGACAGATCATAAAATTAGTATTCCTACAAGTGTCCTCATGTCAGAGTATTTAAGTAAAATTATCTTTATTTTTATCGTCCTGCAGTATTTTGAGTGGTGCAGAAAGTTACAGGTAACCAGAAAATGAGAGTATTTGTCATTCAATTTGACAAACTGAAATCTATCTATATATCTGTCTGTTGTTTGTTTCCAGAATTAGCTTTAGGATTTGTAATGTTCTCATCTTATCAAAAATAA